CTGGCCATTGTGGAAAATATCATTCTGTATATAATATTGCAGTAAATTCCCTAACTCAGGAAAGCTAAACAAAAGTTCTGGAATGTGTTTTCAATTCGAACATACTAATTAAGTATGATTGCAATAATGCTTTCTGTACTCAAGCATTCTTTTTCTTAAAGAATAGTATTTAAGAAAGACGTAATTGGCTACCATACGGGCACCAAAGAGTAACATTTTCATTGACGTTTTCTATAAAAATATATTTTAATTTTTAAGGATAGTGAAAATGAATGAGAAAAATAAATACTGCATAACTAGTCATTATCTACAGAATACACTTTTTGCAAGCGGCCAGAATGATGCTCGTCCAAAAGCCACCCACCTGACGTGGCTTAACTATGTTGAGATTGGGCTGTAGGATAAGCATTATTTCAAACATACTCAACTAATATGTTCGAATTGTAAACACATTCCAGAATTTCGTTTGAATTTTCATGGGGTTAGGGCATTCATTATAGTCGCAGGGCTGGAGAGCGAGCCCCCAACGATGCGAGTGCGTACCGTAGCCGATCGATAAGCACTTTGGTATGAAAGGGGAATTATTCTTCCTAAACGTTCACATAGGAAAAGCAAGTTGCATGAAAAAAAAGGATAGAGAGCTCAGAGAGAGACAGAGGGGGGGGAGGAGACTCGATCCTCGGCGATCACTTGATGTCCTAATCAATCATTGTAGACGGAAACTGTCAGATTATACGTGCGCGTAGAGGAACTGCTCTACTCAGACGATAGGGCTTCCAGGCATTAAGTTTTAGAATCTTCACCTACGGTAAATGGTCGCAATATGATCTATAATTGCACTGTACCGTACCGTTCACTTCAAACCACCGCTTCGAGGTGTCGATGAGGACAATCATGATTATAATTATTAAGAATGTTCTATGGAGGTACCGATCCGGCGACTTGGGTTAGTTATTGTGCTCATATGCCCTGAATTTTAACCCGTACCCTCTGTGGAGGTATGCTGAGACCATTTCTTACTTTCAGAGGGCTGACTACTTGCAGGCTGCATGAAAAGTATTTTTTATCCACAGGCGATTGACTATGTCTACCAGACTAAGACCAATTACGTTAAATTACTAGCTCAAAATATTTTCCACAGACGTAACCAGCCCTTGGGCAGCCCACGCAATAAGCCTGCCTTCCGTTAGCTTACAAATTATATAATTCAAATTAAAACTACTGTCTCTCTTATAATTAATAAGTGGCAACTTTAAAATGTAGTGGACACGGACTTTGTTCAGTCAACAAATTGAAAATATTACTAATTTGGATTCCATCTGAGCGGCAAAGTTGGGCGGATAATATCGATCCAAGTGTGATTAAACTCACGGTGTGAAGCGCGACATTGGAAGCTCATGTAGGTAGAGCGTTGGCTTGCGTAAAATGCCTCCCTCCTATGCGGGTTCGAATCCCGCCGAATGCCGCGAGTTGTTTCACAATTGGGTCAACTTAATTGACCAAATCTGCCAAACCAACCCTAATAGCTAATTTGCACGTGTAAGAGAAGCGTTAGTCGTCGGTCAACTGTAAAAAAACTGGTAGTCGGCATCTTGACTCTACCTGAGGATATATTTTTCTGGCACCAACAGTTTCTCTAATAGACGGGGATGAAAAAAGCTGCTGAACTGCCAGAATCATACTTATATATTCATTTGAGCTTTCAAATTCGCACAGAGATAAGGTCAATCAGGTAGGAGTAAATCAAAATTCAGTAGCGCCAGTCCGGACGGCGATTGTGCAGGACTCCATATACCGTTGGCAGGCCGATTTCTAGATTGACTGAATACTCACTGGAGGCTTTGGATTCAATCAACTCATTGTGATACTAGAGCCAATGATTACCTGCGTAACTTGGATGAATAAAAACATCGCTTTGGCGAGCGAACAATCTTCATCTTCCATACGCATACATGCACCTGGAATGTGAACATTCGCCTCAGAGTTTCCGCTTTCCACAGTCGATGTGTATAAAGAACCTATAATGTTATCCTTAAACGTGTTTTCTAGAGAATCCCTTGATTGTTCGTTCATCGCGACTGAAGGAAAAGACATGGCCTTAATTTGTGACTACTGACGAACAAGTTAGTGACACGTTTTGTTAAAAATGCAAATAACGCATGCTTACCGGGTTCTTTGCTCGAAAACGTTCCGCCTTGATTAGCATGTCCACGATTCGGGCAAATCCGCTCTGAGCTGCCAAACTAAGAGCAGTTTTCGCGGTCTGGAAACAGAAAAACATTCATTTAACGGTAACAGTATTTCAAGTAGTGCATCTCATATATCCCTAGTCTCGGCATTTTGTCCTACAGAAACGGTGGTTAAAGGGGTTTTCGGGGTGGAAAGGTAGTTCTCTGTTGCTTGCTTTTTAGGGAAAATACAGTGAATGTTTTGTACATTGTTATTACGTAAATTCCGCATCTTTTTAACCTCAACCTTAGTTCTATGCACCCTGCATAGCAAAGTAATTTGGCAACTTAAGTACTCTGTATGCAAAGCTGTACAGTCTAAATTGAGTTTTTAAGGTTGTCGGTCATTTACACCAAATATACTGACTGAGTGTCAATACAAGCAAACATGCGAATCCCAGGATTTACTAGGAAGAAGGAGAGGTGATCGCTTTGATAAGATTTTTTCATCAGATGTCTGGTAATCCGTCGTTCATCCTTCCTCAGAGACGATAGCAGAAACGAGTACAGGGAGTAGTAGTAATTATAGAATACAGTCAGTATGCTTCTGCACACTTGTGATAATGAACGTCTGCTCTATCGAGAATAATTGCACACTTGTGCGCTAACTGCTTAATAACCGACATGGGGATCGTGACCTGCTGAACTTTCATCACACGTGATGAAATTGGACGTGATAATTGCTCGGCTAGCCGGCTCAATAGCGCTTATATTAGAAAATTCGTTCGCCTGTGCGCTACCGAGTAGCGAATTGTTTTAGCCGAACTGAGGCGCAACATCGAATATGGGTTGAGCAGGTCGTTGCACTTGCCTATAGACTGGGGGCCGTGAATTAGGGCTCAAGTAGCTCACGACTCACTGGACTGTCACCCCTCGCAAGATTTTTAACCTCATCAAATTTGAATGTGTGGCTGGCTCTCGTCGAATGAGCCGCAACCGGAGAATTTTTATAATTTCTCCGCACTGCTGCCGCGAGTTTGGCAATTCGCGTATTGAGAAGCCTTCCAGTTTCTACGAAATAGTTGCTTGGTTCGCAACTGCAGTATATCCTGTAGACGACTGCAGACCTTTATTGTCATGGCAGTGGGTCTTTTGGTTTCATGATCCGAAGCCTTATGGTTGTCCATGGCCTGTGTATAACTCCAATTCCAAGTGGTGCGAGAATGCGGCTGACTGTACGGAATCGGTCGCCAAAATTTGGGGTCGGTGTGATTTTGTTTCTCATCTCGTTTGCGCACGCACTGGTTGACTAAGTTGCGTGCGAGGCCAGAGAAAATGGCTATGCAACCTGTGTATAAGCAAATAAGATAAGCATCAAACTCGCACCGACTCCAACTTTTGGTGAGCGGTTCTGCACGTCAAAGTCGTCTCAGTGAATAAAAGTATTGCCCCGGTGATCAACGCTTCTTCTTGGCGGTACTGATACCAACTTAATCAGTGACAAGTTCACCACTGTATGGTTTACAATGGGTCAGTTGAACTAGCTCAAGAGTTTAAGTAAGCATTTTATGCTTAAAGTAATTCCCTGCCTAGACCTATCAAACTACCTCTTGAGGCTGCAGCTGGAAGTCTCGCATGTTATCAGAAAACCACCATTTGGATGGTACTCCTACAAAAACAAAAAGACGGGAATGGCTTTTCTGGCATATAGGCCCTACAAACAACCGAAAGTGTGCATGAACTGAACTGCGAGCACGCAGGATGCGGAGGATCGCACCAGAACACGTCCCATGACCAAAGAATCCGTGTTTGAATCCTAGGCTGTACGAATATACGACTGGCGAAGGAAATAGACATACTTTTTACATGTATAATTGTGCTCAGCATGCTTGCTTAAGTGATTCTCAGGAGCAGTCGTCCATCTACTGATATTTAATGATTTGTTTGACCTAACTGTGAAAGAGTCTGTGTTCTCGACGGGATTCGAACCCATGACTGCAAGGAAAAAACTTCGCTACGCTCTAATCACCTGAGTGCTGAGGGTCCAACAGGGGGCCATGAGGTTCATCACAGCTGGGCCAATTGAATTATTGAAAGTTGCCAAAAATCGTGTAAAATCGGCCTGGTAGTCGTCTGTTCGATCTAGCTTGACTGTTTGGGAATTCCCGTTTGGGCGGTAGTCACCTTACCGTGTCAGAATTGGTGGATACCATACGATGCAGTAGGCCAGGGGGTTAGTCGACCCAAGTGTAATTAAACACAGTTATCAGTGATGATCTCGTAGCTCAGTTGTCTAGAAGGTTGGCTGCAACGAAGCCACCAAATTCTTCGCAACTAAGTAAAACGAATTGTTCAAATCTACTAAATCCCCCCAAAAGTGATGCAATGGGGAGTTAATGCTACATTACTGCTAGCCGCCAGCAGACGGCCATTGGGTGTTCCATGGAATATCAATTCATATCATTAAGAAACATAAAGAAAATCGGACCATTGCATTACTTTTTCGGACGAGGGTCTGGTTTCGGGATAACTACGCTTACTTCGCATAACTGCCCACTTATTTCCTAGTAGTACGCATGTTTTTCTTATCACAAATGTATGGCACAGTCCATACACACTATGCTGCTCACATGGAAACCTTCAGCGTCCTGCGGTTACTCTTAGTTTTATTAGTTTACTTTTAGCTAGTCTAGTTCAGTTCGTTCACTTCAAGTTTAATTTAATTTAATTTTACTTTATTTATTAGATGATTTGAGTTTTAGCTAAATTTTTAGTTTACTTAAGTCTTCGTATATTTTAGTTTTGAATTTAGTTTGGTTTTAGTTTAATTCAGATTTTAGTTTAATTCGGGGTTAAGTTGATTCCTTAAATTTTTTGACATAGTTTACTCCTCTGCACAGTTCCGCGATTTTCGGAGTTCTTGTTTCTTACTAGTTGTATTTCTCATTTTAATTATCGCGCGCTTTCTCGTTGCCCAGCCTTAAGTCAAGTATATAAATATTCCCCATATTTTATAATTTTACATGCTCTTCTTTTTAAGGTACATTTTATTTCCCCTGTAGTGCCCCACCGTATAACCCATATTGCCACCGGTCCAGTATTACAGAGTGTTGGGGCCCTAGCTTGCTGTAGTGGGCCCAAAACCAGACTGCTACCCTTATTCGAAAAGTAAAAGGTAAAATAAAACGCACCGCGTCAACTTTATTAACTTCTGCACCCGCGAGGAGGAGAATCTCAACTGCATCAGCACTGTTCTGTTCGATAGCAGCATTCAGTGGAGATTGGCGGCGCTGGATTTTTCAATAAAAGAAGAGCAAAAAGGCTTTTAGCACGACCTATTTTGAGATGCAAGCACTGCAGCACTGAGCTACGTGCTTCAGCGGGATGCTGCAATGAACAAGTGACACAAGTAACTGACCTTGTTCCGCACTTCAATGTCCGCTCCCATTTGAAGCAAATCCATCACACAATTGATATGATTCGACATGCTGGCTATGTGCAGTGGTGTATTCCCAGACTAAAACAAAATGCAATAAAATGTAACCGGTTGGTTTAGTTTTCATCCGCAGTTCTTGGATATCATCGGTTGCATAAGTGAAAGAAAGTCTGCCAACAGCATAATCTGTTTGACGTTTATAGTCAGTCATCAATTTCACGCAACGCTTACCAACAGTTTAAATCCCCTTCATAATAATAATGATTACTTCAGTAGAATTTTTATCTTCAGCATAGTATATGATAATTTAGACACACCATTAACTAATGTCTTTAGGCTTCCTGACAAAGCATGACCACGATAAAGCGTATTTTCTTAGAAAGGTTTTGAATGTCCTTGCAAATACATTGATGTGCATTTATCCTTTCATCTACACCTGGAAGCAGGATACATTGGCCGAAAAACGGGGCGCATGGAAAAGAGGGCACTTGCAAGCATACCGGCCTGGCTAAGCAAAGGTGAAACTAGATCGACTTCGAGTTCTATTTGTTGTAACGGTAGCCAAAGCTGCGACAATCACCGTCAAACTACGCCTCGTGTGAGCCCCGAAGGAAAAACAAA